TCACCCGGGCACTTTTTCTAACGGACTCCAGGCATTGTTTATATTTTCTGAAAGCGGAGTACGAGACGGTTCCAATGGTAACCATCCCGTCGTACAATATGTTCACCTTCAGAAGTTACGGATTTTTCTATCCTAAAACTCGTAAATATTCAGAAATCATTAGCCACATTCTTCACCAGGCACTTTTTCAACAGGACTCCAGGCAAACTATATATTCTCTAAAAGCGGAATACAAGATGGTTTCAAAAACATTTCCCTTGCTGACGTTGCTGTTCATCTACAAAAGTTACGAGTTTCTTCTTTTAGAAAATTCGTAAATGCTTAAAAATTAAAACTCCATTTTAACCAGGTACTCAGTAGTCCACAGCTGATCATAAGATACGAACAGAGTGCATGTTTGCAAAGTATTCCATATGATTCCTTGATCAACTGAAACACCCTTCATCCGGAGGGGCTGCGACCGCTGTGACACCCTTCACCCTGGAAGGGTCATTCTCACCTTATCGCACCTGTGCTTCAATGGCCTAGAATCCTTTTCGAAGTCCCTACCGTGACATCCTACAGTGACGAAAAAAGATTGGAGATTGGATCCATGCTGTAAATTTAACAAGGGAAGGATACTTAGTCGAAGTGGGGTTTCCGCATGTGATGCATATCATCCTGCTGGTTTTGGAGCACTAATACTGTATCCGTGTTCCTTAGCTGCTCAATGATCTTTTGAGAAAGTCATGAGCGACGGTTCATCACGATGACTACTGCACATTATAAGTTCGGGGCGCCGAGCAATGTACAGGTGTGACGGATAGGCGAGTGGATAGCTGCGGAGACTATGTCGCAGGTGGAGATGAGTTCGCCACCCTATCGAACCCTTTTCATTTTTGCAAATCGTATTTTGTGAATCCGCAGGCTTTTCGACGAGGGTCTGCTTTCTCGAAAATCGTCTACGAATTTACAGAATACAGTTTGCAAAAATGCAAAGTTGGCTCCATAGGGACGCAAACTCTTCACCACCTGCGCCATAGTCTCCGCAGCTATCCACCCGCCCATCCATCCACACCAGTACATTCCCTGGCGCCTAAGACTTACAATGTGCAATGGTCAATGTGAAGGACCATCGCTCATAACTTTTCCCTAAGATCATTGAGCAGCTAAGGAACACGGATCTGGTATTAGTGCTCCAAGACCAGCAGAATGATATGCATCACGTGCGGAAACCCCACTCCGACTGAGGGTCCTTTCCTTGTAAGTTGAACCTCGCTCTACAGAATGGTACTCAAAGCTAGGCGAAAGACGTGAAAGCAAGAGGGTCAAACAGTGTGCACATCTTTTTGGGACACCCTATATAATTTTCGAAAGCGGACGACGAAACGAGTTCAATGAACAGCCAAGATTCCCCTATGTAGCTTCTTCTACGAAAATGTTACAAGCACTTTTATAGAAAAAAATCCCTTACTTTCTAAAAAGCGACTACAATCACCTCTACCCGATAGGAAATCCTTTTTTTCCGGCAACGTATATATTTTTTGAAGGCGGACGGCAAAAGGTATTCAATAAATGGCAAAACGCTTTCGTAGCATGTAAGAAAAAATTGCAATCACCGTTTTTGTCTTCATATTTTCCATTAAAAAAATTATCATATCTATCTTGTAACGCTGTAAAATACATAGACCATTTTATTGGCTGAAGTTCCTGTTATCCCATATAATCTCTATATATTCTCAAAGCAGGCAATGAGCCTAATCCAGTGCCATCCTTGCTCTCGATCTCCAAGCGAGTTGAGGACATTCTAAGATTTTTTGATTCATAGATTTGCCACAGTTTCCAGCATACTTCACAGCTCATTCATTACAACGTCGACTATACAGTTCTATTAGTCTCAGATAGTATAAAAGCTAAAATGGTGACTAACTTCTTCATCTAAACTCACCGTCTTCCTTACTCTCCACTACTAATAAAAACACAAAATTCTTTTCATACAACTCAAATGACTACATGAGGGTATATATAGGCTACTGCATGACGAAGGCATAATATTTGGGCGCGAACGCGGCTTTATTAGTCGCAAAGCGCAGGAGGCGCAGAATTTACAACGGTGAGGATACACGCACCGTGTTCGCGCCCGCTCAACTAATACTGCTATTACCGCCTTCGTCATGCAGCAGCCTTTACATTTTATGTGATCCTCAAAACTGGGAAAATGCGAAATTCTGGCTGCTCTTCGTCCTCCACGTCCTTGTCCAAGCAGAGGAATTGTCGAAAACTGGTCTATCTATTTCTGGGCCCGATCATTTCAACGTGAAGGAAGCACGCATACTATTAGTATTTCATTTCTGTTTGAAACTCTCTTACTAGTGGCTGCTATTGTACTCTTAAAGGTAGTGTCCGGGCAAAAACTAAATTTCTAGAAAATTCACTTATCGGGGATTATCCGCAACGCTGAATCCGAAAATCCACATTAGAAGGCGCGAAAATGGCGAGAACATACGTTTTCCAAAGCCGTACAATTTGATAGTTGACGGTCCCCGCCAAGGCAGTGCTACGCGACCCTACATTTTAACTGTGGCGCATGCGTACTCTGCCGCATAGCAGGAATTCGGACAGCTCGGAGGACGAGGCGTAAGTTTCCCCACTTTCCGGTCGTTTTTCTTGCTTTAGTTTGAGCTTTATGACGTCCACTTGCGCGATGTTGTGTCTGAGGGGGGGGGGAGGCACTCTCACATGGCACAGAAGTCCCAAAACTGCCTTCAACACGTTGACGACCGAGCCATTTTTGATTACCTCAAAATGGACTGATGATCTACGGGTGCGGTTTGGACTGTTTAACAGCTACTGCAATGCCGTGTGTTTTATGACAACCGGGCCACCAGTGTTATCACTGCATAAACGTTACCTGAGAACTTTTCGTTTACACATGATAAATTGATGCACGAAAGTGCTAAAAGGTGGTCAGGGCGTGCACCGCGCGGATGCACACGGTCGTCAACGTGTTAGAGACAGTGTCCGGGCAAAACGTCGATTTTGAGATTTTGTGCTTATCCGGGCCTATACGCTATGCTGAATCCGAAGATCGTCACTGGAGAGCGCGAAAACGGCGAAAAAGGGCTCTAACACGGGAGGGAAACCAGAAGTGGGCGGGGTCGTACCCACTGTGAATTCACGGTCCCAGCTCTCGGGGCGATTTTCTCAGTTCCGATTTCAAGCCACGCATTCCTTGGCTTGTGAAGATGTCAGGGCGGCTAGCGAAATTGAGAAGATCGCTCCGGAAGCCCGGACCGTGAATTCACAGTGGGGCAGGCCCCGCCCTTCCTGCGTTAGAGCCCTTTTTCGCCGTTTTCGCGCTCTCCAGTGGATTTTCGCGTTCAGCATAGCGATTTTCGCGTCCAGCATAGGTCCGGGTATGCACAAAATCTCGAAATCGACTTTTTGCCCGGACACTGCCTTCAAGCGCTACTGTTTGCTGTTAGAGTATAGAAATATAATAGATGTTCAAGTGTGACCTTCTACAGAACATAGTTAATGAATCTTCATATAATACTAATTGTAGCGGGAATCTATCTTTGAGAAAGAACGCAGATCAAGTCTACCCAGATCATTAACATTTTCTTATTTTCCCAGCAAATGCTTAAAAGCAGTGGCTCGGCGAAAACAAACATCTTGAAATTCTGATATGAAAGGTTGCTTGCATCCCAAACTCAGAACAAAGCAGGTTCGAGCGCACTACATGTTGCCTCTGCCTAGAAAACCGCCCCTAAACCTGTGCGCGCAAACCATTCTTACACGCGCTCGGACGAGCTTGCGGTCCCCCTCCCACCGTCAGAGGCGGCATGCCGTAATGCTATAGACATGAGGGTCCCGCAACGACTCTATGTCTCTAACCACGGCGGGGAGTGGTCCACTCGTCCAAATTCGAAATGAGAACCCTTGGAACTTGCTGGTTTTCGACATTTTCGTGCTCTTCAAAGTGTATTTTCGAAATCAGTGCGTCGAATTACTCCGAGTAAGCGAAACAACTTTAGGTCGAGGATTTGCCAAGCCACTGCCTTTCAGTTACTTCATAGGCAAACATACAAACAGGTCTTCTAAGCAATCTCAAGATCCTTTGTCGTTCCTCATAGGTGAAAAAGAGGCGGCAACTTTGCTGACGCACAATCGGTTTTGAAATATATACCAATGACATTAACGACAATCATGATATCATTAGATTCAATCTTAATAATTACCATGGTTCTCAAATTTTTTTTTAAAAATTTGTTTAATTCTTACAAGGAATGCGCTTTGGTCGAAGTGGCTGTTTCGGTTGAGCTTCATACAGTTTGTAGAGATTAGACGTGTTTTCATATCCTCCCTTGGTATCTGCTGTGCTCCCCTGCACGTCGAGTTATGAGTGTTTTTTGAATCGATAAATGGATAATCTGGATAAAATCAGCCGTTTCAGTCCTTTCAGCAGTGGCGAGTATGAGTACTTGCCTGAAAGTACTCATTGCATAAATTGCCGTTATATCCAACATTGGCCCATCTGAGCGTTTCTGAATGATCTTGCTTTAGTTACGCGTTCATTTTTTCCTACTCAAAAACGTTCATAGCTTGGCGTTTAGAGGTACACAGCAGATGAAGACAGCTTTATCAGCTTTCCATGCACTTCAGAACTGTAAAGATTTTATCTGGAAAGGTCACTTCAGATGGGAATGCTTTCCTTGTTAGTCTCACATCTTCCAGTTTTTCAGTCGTGGGTGAAGGGTATTACTGAGTTAAGGCCAGGGGTGAAGAGGGTAGGAACATATTTTCTTCTTATCGCATGTGTGATGGGACCTAAATATTCGTCACCTCAAGAAGTTTTCAAAGCAAAAAAGCGAGAAGTACCCGGTCAAAAAATCGAGTCAACATAGAAGCAAAAAATCCTGCGAACGTGCAGCTCGCTCAGGAAATACACTCTTCATATCAGACATTCGCATGCGCACTTATTGTTTTTTTTCGGCTAGCGATAGAAAAGAACATTTTCATATTTTTGCCAGAGCAGTACTACCTGTTTTCTTAGTTCCCAGCCAAAAAATACGGCAAATATAGACATGAATGGAACTCCAAAGAATCTTCCTAGACAGAGTTTCGATTTTTTCGTGAGTTTTAATTTTTTTAGTTTTTATTTTCACAACTTGCCTGGATCAAAGTAGCTGTAAATTTTGCGGTGCCAAGTTATCTTATATATAAAGCTGAATGTCTGTTTGTCTGTCTGTCTGTATGTCTGTCTGTCTGTCTGTCTGTCTGTACGTACGTATGTTCCGAATAGAAAATTCCATTTCTGAACCGATCCGGACCAAACTTGGCACACATACACTTCGGCCCCGGCGGGTGTCATAGGCTACTTTTCGTCATCGATCGATATCGATTTTATCGATTTTTTTGCAAAATTTGAGCTACGGGGATGGGAGGTGGCACAGGGGGTAATCGAGCATGCTGATTACGAATATATTATTGACAGGGCCAGGCGGAGCCGGGTAAGCCGAGAGCTTAGTAGAGCTTCATTGGGTACTGCGAAACCTTACGCAACTATGAAGACGAATTCAGCTCCAATCAGGTATACAAAAACTACGAGAGTTTGGCTATCAAAAACCAAAGCAAACTATCAAACCACCAAGCTATATTTTGTTCTCTAGAATTCCCTTTGCAGGTAAGTTAGTTGAATGTGGCAAACCCCAGAGAGCTGTGACTGTGGCTACCTTATCTGTCACCTTATCAAATACTCTATGAAATATCTATCTGCGTTTTTTGTATCGTTGTCACTGCTAAACCTCTCTCACACAACAGGAATTCTAATCAAAATATTTCTGCTAGTAAAAAACATAGTCGCTTTTCTTTACCTATGCAAATGGGAAATACCGCGAAAATATTGGGTTACGGCAACATGCTAAGTCTGCACTACTACGTAAATCGTGAGGGAAGGCGGCAAAAATCAATTCTGATAGCCTAAACTGCGTAAACTTCACGATGGAGCCTGTTCGGTCTCTGCTAGTTTGACATATTGAAAGCGAAAAAGGAAACAAACGAGGTTTTCTCTTCCTCTTACAATCACAAATTTGGAGGCTATTTGAATTGAAATTCCAAATTTGAGCAAAGAAGTAGTAGTTCTTTGCATTGAGTGCAAAGAAAGAAGTAGTTACTCACTTTTAAAACAAAGTTAACATGTTGAAAATTGGTAATCTCACTTGGGTGGCCCAATATTTGGAAATCCATGACGCTGAAACTCGGCCCTCAGGGGTTATTTGACATGCTAATTTGAAAAATGATGCTCTTACGCTTTTGGGCTCTTTTATTGTGCCTAATGTATGTACACGATTTTAGGCCAAGACATCAATGTGCTTCTTATGCCTATCTATCTCATTGTTGACGAATATCAGGTTATTGCTAACATGATTATCACTTCAAGTGTTATCACTTCAATGACGACCCTCTCCCCTCCCCCCTCCCTGATTACTCACAACGACTCCCCAGGTTTGGAATGCCACACCTCACGCTTGATCCTGAATGTGACTTATAGCGGTTCCCACCTGTCTTAGTGCAAGACTTATGTTACTATCTGATAGAACTTGCAAGCTTTGGCTTGACAAAGTGTTGACGCTGACATATTCAGCAAATCTCCCAAGTGATCATGTAATTGAAAGAATTTTTCCGGAGAAATCGACAATCCTTTTGATAGCTTACAAAGCTTAGAAATACAGGGTGTCCTCAAAGTATGTATACACTGTTTGATCATTGATATCTCCCTTCCCTAGAAGTCTTTTGCCTAACTTTAGGTACCAATTTGTAGAGCAGGCTTCAACTTAGATTTACAGAACGAAGCCAATCAACTATCTTCATTCACTGCTGTAGGATTACGGTAGGAACTTCAAGAAGGATTTTGAGCCATTGAGGGTCCTATTCCGCCTTAGAAAGTGAACCAAACAATCCCTCAACTCGTACACTAGGCTAATTAAAGTCGCTTAAACCAAATATGAACTTTGCATTTGAGCGTGATGCTTCCATCATGACATATGAAACCGTAATACCTTATTTTCAGGTGTATAAGCCGCACCCTTTTCGTTCTAAAGGCGAACACGCCAAAAGACTGACTGTCATCATGGAGCGCGTAAGTGAGAGCAGTATGCGATAGGGCGACCGCTTCGCGAGACATATGCGCGGCGGTACGCCTGGGTCTGCTCGCGTTTAGAGCAAAAAGGATGCGGCTTATACACCTGAAAATAGGGTAGTTCTTTTTGCTATGCTCTCTAAAATTGCGGACGCACCTTTTGAAAAGCTTCACAAACTTCTAGAAAGTTGAGTAATCAAGTCAGCGCATGTAAAATCTCTGGTAAACCACTTTTCAGTTTTTGGAAACTTCTTTTGAAACACGGCTAATCCACAATGATGCTGTAACCCAAAAGTTCCTACCCGAATCCTACAGTACCGAAGAGCGATCTGTGGTTCGCTTTATACTACAAGTCTAAGTTGAAGCCAGCTCTACAAAATGGCACCTTAAGGTAGGCAAAAGACTTCCTGGGAAGGGAGATATTAACGATCAGACAGTGTATACGTACTTTCGGGACATCCTGTACGTTTTTCTCTTGCTAACGTAATTATATTACCATCATGTTACCGGGGTAACTGCGTTCAAGCCAAGAGGAGTGAATAAAAGAAAAGATGGGGAATGAGGCGCGGCGCAGCGACTTGGATATCGGCTTGATAGGGTGTCTTACTATGATAAGCTGCCGAAAGTTCAAGACCGCTAACTAGAGCGGACGGACCTTTGGGATGCTAACAGCTTTGCGCTTCCTCAAAGCTAAAGTACATGATAGGTTGGAACCAGGGTAAAGCGGGGGGTGCGGCACGGACCTCGGCACGACCCCCCCCCCCCCTCCCATTCCCTGCCGCCCCCTCCCTCCCCTTTTGAAGATCTTACCGATATCTTACCGAACTTGTTGAAGATCTTACCGATAGTCCTTAAAACACGAATGATTCTCCACCAAATTCTACTCGAGTCCGAGTGCCTTGACCAAGTGGGGCAGAGGGTCTCCTAACTTGTAAGACATAGTGATGCAAAGCATTCGCATTACTGAATGAAAAACTTTGAAACGAGGTTACATCGCAATGGTCTTAAAGGCAGTACTTCGGCAGAATGAGACCCGTGACAAAACAAGGTCACAGGGTAGGAGCCCCCATATGGAACATATCGGCCAAAGTCCGATCTTTCTCTGCCACTTCTAACCCCCGAAATTTCAAAGCGAAAGCAGCGCTCACCTCCTCTCCTCTCCGAACCCGCCCACCCCATGGGCGAGTGACTTCCGCGGTCAGAGCGCCAGCCGCAATGCTATAAGCATGAGGTCCCGCAACGACTCTGCGTCTTCGCCATGACGGGCTTCGCGTTCACTCGTCCATGTGGTGGGCGGGTTCGGAGAGGACGGGAGATGAGCGCTGCTTTCGCTTTGAAATTTCGGGGTTAGAAGTGGCAGAAAAAGATCGGACTTTGGCCGATAGGTTCCATATGGGGGCTCCTACCCTGTGACCTTGTTTTGTCACGGGTCTCATTCTGCCGATGTACTGCCTTTAAGCCTATTTATGGTTAGGAGTGCAGCTAGGGATTGGAGGAGGAGATAGGAGTTGTCGCACTTCCGACACTTCTCCAGCTTCAGCAGCTAGGTGCAAAGCAGTTCTTCCTGCGCCATTACTTGCGTTAGAAGTATGTGAAAACACCTTTTTTAGCAAAAGAAACAAGGAAGAGACTTACAAAACTTGTTAATTTCAAAAGATGCTGAAAAGGCACACATACAGTGTCTGGCAACTTCGAGTTAGGATGTTTTTTCACCCTTTCCAAACCTGTCAGTTCTGTGAATTCAAAGTTGTCCTTCAGAGATTTCAAAAATCTTGTCCTTTCTTTGAACGTAGAATACTGATGACGGAGTTGATGTCTCGCCCATTTGCGCGCAACTGGATGATGGGCCACTTCAATCCAACCGCCTCTCTAATGTGAGATAAACCAACACCCTTCCCGCCTCCCTCGGTTGCCCGAACAAACTTTAATTAGTGGTAAACCATTCTCAAGCACAGATTTGACCTCAACACAACCATAAAGTTTGTGAATGATGAAGATCAGTTGAAGTTGAAGTGAATTTTTTGCAGTACATTTTCGAAACATATGAGTATTTTGAAGGAACCATGAACTACGAACAATTGATCTGCATTAATTGGCTTACCTTGTCTTTTTCAATAGCCCTCTTCTGTTTTTCTGACTCGATCAACTTGCTGTAGATAGCATTCTGCAGCTCCGTGTTGCGACAACATATGACGTACTCGTATTTGACCTAACACAGAGCGTTATGGATGAACGAGTTTACACGAGTGAAGAATGCTAGCATAACCTAACGCGAGTATCAGTTTGCTGCTGCACGAATCATTGCAGCAATTAGTACAGGCCAAAAGCATTTACACTCACAAAATTCAAAAAAAGTATCATGAATTACTATGAACAGAAGTGTGAAAACTCAAAAATTTTGAATGTTTCTTGTCTTACCGGCAAATACTTCGTCGCAACGCTCTCGTTCCTCTAATAATGCATTTCTCTACAAGTGTGACCACCTCCTTCGTAGCCTCTTCACCTTTCATCTGTTCTTCATCGGTAGCATTACCATCGCGACCTCTGAAAACAAGCATACATGTCAGATGAATTGACATCAGCTTTTAAGAAAGGAGTTGCACGCGATAGCGCGCTTGTGGTTACCTTAGCAGGCAAAAGGCAAGCAAGTAGGTATATATATACCTATGACAGAAGTTAGAGCCTCCTAAACCCGATTTCGCGCTTTGAAAATGCGGCTATACTTATCCTTTGAACCGGATTAGATCCAGTCCCAGCCGCACGCTAAACAGCATGGGCACTTCGGTCAAATTGAGCGGAAAGCATTCACATAAGTTTTCACACAGGGTCAGACACGCCTTTCGGTATCGTTTAGTCCTCTACTGCATAACTGGAAACGACCTTTGTAGCTCAAAGCAGACGCGACCGAGACCGCGCTAACATTCTGTCGTGAAGCAGATCTCTTAATTAGGAAGTTCTCATTAAAAGAAACCAACGAAAAGAGTACAAATTCTAAAACTTCGCAGAACAATGCAAAGCATCTCCGAATTATTCAGCTTGCCGCCTTTCTGCATTGTTTACGCAATAGCGCAGAAAGGCGGCAAGATGAATAGTTGGTGCTACCGTAACCCGATATTTTGGCAGCCGCACGATGGATGGTAGATAGTAGAAAAAGCGCTATATCTCATTCTTTGCGGGAAAGTTTTGGATGAAAATCTTACTATGAAGAGAAGAAGGTTGAGCTGTAAAAACAACATAAAAATTGTAGACATTCGACGGCTTTAAGGGTAAGTTAATGGGGTGCGGCACACCCCCTGGGGGTGTGCCGCACCCCATTAACTATATCAAAGAAACATTTTTAGCGGACAGTATTTACATGAATCGATAGCCTAAACCTTGTAGATTCCATAGGACTGTTTTGAGCCTGATTCGTCTTCTTAGCTCTGAGTAATATTTGGTGAAAGCACAGCGATCAAAAGCGAAAAGTGGGAACGAGATTTTGGTTGGCTTCTAATTCCATAGTTTAAAGGTCTTCTAAAGCGGGATTTCTGAGATGGACAAAGGAGTAGTGCTTTGTCTTGGGTGCAAAAACGGATAGCTAATTCACCTTTGAAACAAAGTTAACCATGTTGGAATTTAACCATTTCACTTAGGTGGCCTAGTATCTTAAATCTTCAGAATTCGCTCACACTTTGTCTACAGGGGTCAATTGACATGCTAATTATGGATATGATACGAATATCATGTTATCGCTATTATCAGATTACCTAACTACGACCCCCACCCCTTTTGACTCCTCAATACGACCCTCCAGTGCAGCGTGGCGCACCCCCGTTTTACCCTGGTTGGAACAAAAGTTCTGCCGCACCCTCAAAATCACAGCTTCTTGATTTACGGAATTGCGTACTCTAAATTGGATTTGGAAGTGGAGACCATGCGTTTTATAAGCGCACGTATATAGCTCAATTCCCAATAAGCTACTGCGTAGATAAAGCTATAGTGGAGGACTGCTCAAAATTTGATTTTTTTATATTTGCTCAAGAAAATCTAAAACTTGCAAAAATTCGAGCGGTCAGTACAATAGATTTCTTGATCCGCTTCTTTTAATCGAGCAAAGTCTGTGTCGATGAAATCAGTTTATTCAAAGGATGAGTACATAGCTAATTAGTCTTGAGGTAACATCGTTCCTTCAAAGGAGAGAACATCTCAAGAAGATTCCTTTTAGTCTGGATGTCCAGTGCACCGATACTGATTGTCGTTTAGGGAGGGTATGGCATCGAAGACGAGATGTGCGTCAATTATATTTACTACTTTCCTGTTTCTGAAGTCGAAGTTTGCAAATCAGCAGTGGACAACACAACGTTGCACAACTATTTCGAACACGAGTATGTTGATTTTGAAGCAACCTTAGCTCTAACTGATTTTGTATGATCTTAACACTTTGTCGACGAACCAAATTGTTCATGTCTGTTCTTTCCATGCACTCCGGCAGCGTGAACAGGGTGTTTGGAAAGTTTCTGGCCTAAAATACTTCCAATTCAAGTTTTGACGCGCTTTTTGTTTTAGTGGGCTCATCAAAACTAGAAAGCATCAACTCAGCAGAAATCAGGCTTATCTGTAGTTTTTGATTTCTCATTGGGTTGGCACACAGTGATAAAGCTTTTCACGCCTCTTATATGGGGGCCTGCATGATCGCGAGAGTTGGACGTGCGTACAGCCATTGCGCCGCGCACATTCGATGTCCGTCCCACGACTCAGATAGGTGCCAGACTTACCCTGTTTAACAGATTCATCAGGTTCACCCCTCTGCTACTGGTGCGATGATTTGACCAATAGCGAATGAGTGAACCGGACGAGCCGATTGAACAGGATAAGTCTGGCACCTGTCTCAGTGACATCGGACGTTCGCGCCACAGTGACCGTACGCACGTCCGACTCTCGCGATCATGCAGGCTCCTATATTAAGTTGCTTGTTGCAAAGAGTAAAACAGTTAAGGCCAGAAAAAACTTCCCGAACACATTGTATATATGCTGCATGCATCTATGCACGAACTATCTTATGTATAAAGCTGAATGTCTGTTTGTATGTCTGTCTGTCTGTATGTCTGTCTGTCTGTGTGTACGTATGTTTCGAATAGAAAATTCCATTTCTAAACCGATCCGGATCAATCTTTGCACACATACACTTCGGGGCCGGTCGGGTGTCATAGGCTACTTTTCGTCATCGATCGATATCGATTTTATTGATTTTTCAAAAAGTTCGAGCTATGGGGCTGGGAGTTGGCACAGGGGGGTAAGTGAGCATGCTGATTACGAATATATTATTGACAGGGCCGGGCGGAGCCGGGTTTGCCAGCTAGTATATGACAAAGCGCAAGAGATGATTCATGCATGTAACACCCCCCCCCCCCTTCGCAGGCGAGATGAGGACGTAAACAACTCTGTCGTTATGTGCCGGTGCAGATGCACCGAGCTGTGGCTCGTGATGGTAGTGGCGCTCTCTTAGATGATCTTAATCTCTTAGATGATCTTAATCAGAGAGCCTAACCAGCAAAGTATACCTGCTAGACAAGGTAAACGCTGGAAAGGGGAAGGTTACTTACAAGGGAACGATCTCAACTTAAGGTGGCGAATTGGAATGAGCCGCATATCACTAGATGCGTCTTGATGAGCTGATTCCAAATCTGCCTTTCATATCTGCGTAGCCGTTCTTTGCAAAAAGTTATAAGCGTTTGAAAACGTGAAGTCACTGGGGTTTCAATGCTTAATGTCCTTCAAAATCCAACTTTAGAGCGTATGACTAGCATGATATTCAGTGTACTGATTTCAAGGAATGCTCACATTCAAAAGAAACACAAATAAGTGTTTTTGAGCAACTAATTCTCGAGGTATGGCGCTGTATTATTACCAAATTTGTACTTTTCATTGCTCATAGCTTTTACTAACGAACTTTAGTTGCTTTTTAGTTTTTCAAAAACACTTATTTGTGTTTCTTTTGAATGTGGGCATTACTTGGAATAAGCACACTCAGTATCATGCTAGTCATACGCTCCCAAGTTGGATTTTGAAGCACATTATGCATTGAAACCCCATTGGCTTCACATTTTCAAAGGCTTATAACCTTTTGCAGAGAACGACTCCGCAGATATGAAAGGTAGATTTGGAATCAGCTCATCAAGGCGCATCTAATGATATGCGATACCAATTCGCCACCTCAGGTTGGGATCGTTCCCTAGTTAGTCCTGTTTTCGTTACGCACTAGATTACTCAGACAATCGCCGGAGGCAGGCGGTCCGCAAACTCGCGTTTTTCTGCAGGCGGTCAGCAGAATTTTGGGGCGTGGCCAAACCTTCAGCGGGCGGCACTTCCTTTACTGTCTAATGTTCTGCCAGCAGGCAGCAACACAGAATTTTCTGCAGGCGCTCGTCAAATAATCTCTTTCAGCGAGCGCTGGTCAAATTTTTAGCTGGCGCTTGGACGGTTTTAGCAGTTTCGGACGTACGTCGAGCAAAGGGAGACTCTACATGGCAGAGGTGTCATCGATGGTTTAGTTACTCAAGTTTGAGGTACTTTCTCTCAGCGGAAAGTAGCTGGGGGCTGCGCGGTCCTCCACAAAGGACCGTGCGGCCTCCGAAAATTTTGCATGTTCTCGCGGAAAGTCTGCGAGAATGCGGCCACTGCGCCGCAGCTAATCTGTAAGGAAACCGCGATTGTTCTCTAAGCATTCGTCTAAAATTTCGCTAAAATTCTTTCAATTATCTGCAAGCGAACCGCAAGAAATCAGCGAACTTTTTTTCCGGTGCCCGCTTGCCCAAAAATCGCACGGCCGCCTGCCCCCGGCGATTATCTAAATTACTATATCGCAAAATCGAGCAGCAAGGCGAGCCCGGATAGCTTGCGCTAGCAAAGTTTTGGAGTTTTGGAAAACATCATTCAAAATATAGAAAGCATATTGGATGAATTACAAAACTCATTGTGAGTTAAAGGAAAGCAAGTCGGAGGTCCCCAATGCTGGAAGTACAAAGAATATGGTTCAAATGCCACAAAATTGAGATGTTATGATAGCGTAGAGGAAGTTGATACGAAAGAAACGAGGGGGAGGGTGGGGGGGGGGGACAATGGGAGAATGAGGAGATTTGACTCCAGCAAAGGCAAAGATATACGCACGTTTCCAAGCAAGTCAAAGATCAAAGCATTGAGCGGTACTGACAGGAGAAGCTCAAGAATAGTTTTTGGGATGTAGTCGAAAGGAGACGAAAACTAGCAAAATATGGCGCAAGCACTTTGATATTGCTAAATTTACATATTGAAAAATTTAGGGACATTCAGACATTTTCAGTGAAAGGAATGAGTGTCAGATTTTTCCCTGATCTCAAAGGGGCCGATGACGTTTCCGCACGGTTATTCGAAAAATTTGGGGGAAAATAAATAAAAGCGGAAAGTGGGTTGAAAGGTTGAGATTACTGTCGCTGGGTATGCATAGTTTTAGATAAAAATCTAGACTGAAAACCTTAAGAATATGATTAGCGTGGCACAATCTTGAAATAAGGAATTAGGAAAATGTGAACATTTTCTGAGGGAGACTTTTCGGAAAGGGACCCGTCATACTTCGCCGAAAAAAGCCCAAACAAGTCCGAAAAAGTCCAAAAAGCCCAAAAGCCCGAAAAAGCCCAAAAAAGCCTTGACGCTAAGGCATGTGTTTCGCAACTTTTCGCATTTCGAAACCTAGTTTTTTTGCTTCATATTCTGTCGTCTGCACCTCAAAATAATGTCAGAATTCTACCAAAAGTTCGTTTCTGCTTTCCGGCTCTTTCGGGCTTTTTGGCATTTTCGGGCGCTTTTGGGCTTTTCTCGGCGAAGCATGATGGGTCCCAAAGAAAGCAAAATATGCAGGGGGATTGAAAACAAGGAGAGGGGGAGGGGCTTGCAGCGCATGACAGGAGTTTTTATCTTTTGAGAAGTTTTCCAGATGACTTAGATGGCATTCTATTAGTCCAAGTTGCACAATCTCAGTAGATTTATCATTTTAGACCCAACAAGCTAATGTTTTCAAACAGCTGTAAATCCTCCATATGCCAAACATTTGGGGAGCTAACAATAAGAAAAGCTCTGCTGCATAATTCAAATCAACATGGAAAACCTATAGAAATTTCACTTACTTCCCGTTTTCGCTATTAGCAGACAGATGTTGTTTAATTGATGTTTGCAGACACTCACTTTTTGAGTAATTGTAAGAAGAAGTAATGTGCCAAATTTCCACATCCCACTTCACACACGGCCAGACCTGCTGAATATGTAAATCGGCTGGGCCTCTGCCCTCTTGTGGCAAGCTCCGCCCACTTGGCAAGAATGCTGGAATTTGCTCGAGTTTCAGGAATTCGTGCAAAAATCAGCAACTTTGAAAAGGGTCGAAGCGGCCAACATGAAAAACTTCTAAACCTAAACCGATTATGTGAGCAATGGGATTGGTTGGGCACATTGAAATTGTAATCTAACAATAAGGTGTTGCTCATCATTGCGTTCACAGGAATAGCGGCACCATTGCGCGGCATCGTCTTCAAAGTGTTGAGAAGCACTTGAAGGTTTTACGGATTTGTACGATAAACATGTCACAGTCTGTGTCATTCGCGTGCTCTCCTTTCGAGGTGCTGAGCGCCACGTTCGCAAGCTGTGACTACGCATTGGCTTGTCCAGTCATTTTGGCCTTATCAGTTGAAGATACGTATGCGAGGATCTTGCGTTGCTGTGCAGTTCTACGCAATGTAATTGCCATGACTTCCACACATAGGTGCCGCCCCAGACGCCATCGGCTTCCTTCGACCTAGTTCCTTTCCTCAATCTCTGCAGACAAATCTGAATCCTAATGTTAATCAGACGCAACGGCGTCCATTTCTGCATGTGATCACATGCTACATTTAAGGCTCATATGCATGAGCGAGGCTATGTGAAGTGCATATGGGAGACTCAACGCAACCGAAAGGAATTCTGCACTTGCTACAATAAGCAGCAGGAAAACGAACTCCGTGCTCGCACTAAAGGCTTGCATCCTAATATACCGGGCAGTTGCGGAGAAGGCGGCTTCAGAATCTCCTTTTACAGGCAAGCTCCAAACGTCCTCCACCGGGGTTTTGAGACCAACAAACTATATCCTGCGAGTACTGAGGCTCGTGTGCATGTACTCTCCACTCAAACGTTTCGTACCACCGCAAACGTTTCCTACCACCGTTTCGTGACGTTTCGTACTATAGACAATACTTTGCTAGGGAGAAGAGAGGAGCTGTGGAGAGAAGAGACGCGTCATATATTGCCGCTTGATATCTGCATTCTTTGTTGTCTATCTTTGTTATGAAGTCTCTCTTAACCTCATAGCTGAAATTAATGGATG